CTCCGCAGCGCGGGGTATAAAGCGCTTAGAGAGTGATATGATGCACTGAATGCGCGGCCGCGGAAGCGCGTGCCGTTGCCTCAAGTGGGGATCATAAGCGAGAGCCTGGCACACCGCGCGCGCACAGCCTCGCGGCCGCTGTCAAGCACGCGGCGACCGCTCGCTCGCTCGCGTATTTGTCCGCTAATTCTTCGCCCCCGGCGCGGCCGCGTCGCGGACGCGTTCTTTGTCTTCCCTTTCAGCCTCATTATCCTCGAATCATTGAGCGCCCACCTTCCCCCTTTCAAGCCTCTAATCCGTATCACCGACGCGAGACAATCTTGCCCTCTCGGGTCTCGATCTTCAGAGATAAACACGCGCGTTCGCGGCCTCTCTCTCTCTCCCTCTCCCTCCCTCTCTCTCTCTCTCTCTCTCTCTCCCCCTCTCTGTCTCTCTTTCTCGCGCCGCACGTCGATTCTCGCGTTTCGATATTCCTGCGTATTTTTTCTATATTCCTGTATTCTGTATTGTGTTCGTCTATTGTGTTATCACCAGGGCGTCCATGCCGGTTCTATCCCGCGCTATGCGCGCGGGTTCTGCAGTGTATTAATTTTTATACGCCCGAGGGGATGCTCCCCGCTAGAGCGTCTGGTAAATGAATCTTCCGCCCCATCTCTCTGTCCTTTTTCCTCGTGCTCTGATTTTCCGAAGGAGAGAAGTGGGCAGGCCGATGGCCATCGGGAGGTAGACGACGACGACGACGAGGACGACGACGACGTCGCTGGAGCCGTCCCGAGGAGGACGGAGGCGCCTCGTAGTCAAATATTGATACTAGGCCGGACCAAATCGCTCGACTATGCCAACAGATTAGGACGTACGTGCGCTACGGCCGAGTAATAGCAATCGCGCGATCAGGAAGGACGGAGCGAGTGAGCGAGCGAGCGAGCGAGCGAGCGAGCGACGAATCTCAAGTATACATCGACGACATCGCTGTACCGATGATCGTCGCGCGAACAATCGCACGGAACAATCGCGCAGGACCGCGCGCGGCTCTCTCGTTGCGCAATGACGCATTTTAGACAGTCGCCGCGCCATTACGAAATGTAAAAACGCAAGCAGCGCGCTCAACTGCGGCGCGAAATGCAAGAAATGTCACTCCGCGCGTTCGCTCGCTCTCTCTCTCTCTCTCTCTCTCTCTCTCTCACTCGTTCGCTAGCTCGCTCGCTCGCTCCTTCTCGCTCCCGCGCGTGCGCGAGCGCGCGGATATAACCGGTTGGCGGGGTAAAAAAAGGACTGACAGTTCCATTACCTCCGGTACGCGCGCGGCCGGGCCAGGTTGTGCCGATCTATTTCGGTGGGACTAACTAAGTTCAGCGTCTGTTTCTCATTAAATTGCGCTCTGACCTCGAATCCCTCTAAATTTGGAACGGCCACGCCGATTAGGTGCATATTCATCCGCGCGGGGCGCGCGGCCGCGGCCGTCGTCGGTAGTTTCGAATCGCGCTCGCTCGCCCGCTCGTCGTCGATGAGCGATATCGCAGTCAAGGATATTTGCGTGCGTGCGTGCGTGCGTGCGTGCGTATGTGCATGCGTGCGTGCGTGTGCGCGTTGCGTCGAGCGTAATACGGTAATCGTATCGAGATAAATTTCCAGTCCGCTCATTATCGGTGTAACGATATACTCTTATGCACGGAGAATATTCAATCGGACGAGCGGATGCAAATGCGAGAGATGCAAATTTCCCCGAGATAAGATCGCTCGTTAAATATAAACGTCGCGCGATTGTTTCTTTTCGTCCTTTTCCGGGCCCTCCGCGAGGCCCACGAATCGCGCGAGGCGCGCGTCGTTCTTTTCGCTCACTCCTCCCCGCATTCTCCCGCGTTCTACGGATTTTCGTTGTCTGGGTCTCTAAACCGCGCGCGCGATCCTGCGCCCCTCGTCTTGCACGTTCGCCAACGTCGCCGACGACGCGGAAGCGGCGCGCCGGAGGTATTAATCGGCCGAGATATTAAATAGAGAGACAGAGAGACAGACAGAGAGAGAGAGAGAGAGAGAGAGAGAGAGAGAGAGAGAGGGAGAGAGAGCGAGATAAAAAATTGAAAGGAAAAAGGAAGACTCAAAGGAGGAGGAGGAGGAGGGATGGCAAATACGAGCGCGAGATACGACGGCGGGGACTTCCTAGTCCGCGGTTATTTTGCACGGCAGGAATGTTGATTGCACGATATCGGGTCGGCAGGAATCCCAGCGCGCGCGCGGCGTAAACGAAGGCGCGAGCGCGCGGCCAAGTACCACGATAAATTAGCCGTAATGGCCGCACAATAACAGTATTTATTAATAATAACGAAGCGACGGGCGTTGTTATTAGTTCCAAGAAATTAGACGCCGGGCGCGATTCGCCCGGCGTGGCGCGCTTTTCCGCGCGCCTGCGTGCGCCCGCCGGCCGGTCAGCCGAGGATATTCGCGCGCTGCCGCGTCGCGCCGTGACGCATCTAATTTAATGGGAGCGATAATTTACAAGGTATTCGCGAGCGGCTATCGCTATCATTAACTCTTCGACGGCGATAAGCGGGCGATACGAAGCGAGGAAAGAAGCAGCGTGTTTCGTCGACTGCTCGTATCGCGCGACAACAACCGAGGACTCATCACCGAGAGAGATCCTGAGGACGCGCTTCTCTCTCTAGCCCCCGCCCTTCCCCTCGCGGCGGGGGCTCCCGAGAGCTCGACACTTATTTCGGTCTTTGCACACTCGCTGCGGAAACGCTTCTCGGCGGAGTTAATTAATCGCAGCCGCGGGCGGCTGCAGTTTCGCGTTCCCGACGAAACGAGGGGATACAAATGTATGTATTAGGAGCGTGATTTAGTTTTCACGGTTTTTTTTCCTCCAAAACTGATTTGTTTAAACAAGATAATGAACGAGTACGATAATCAAAATGTCTTCCTAATGTTTTCCACAACTGTTTTCCGGCAAGAACTCCGGCATGAATTCTGCGACTATTAAAAGATTCTTCTTTCGAGTTGATTCAAGGTTCAACAAATTTTCGTACTTGCCCGAAGTTCTAAAAGTGTGTATCCTCTAGAGCATGTTGCATCGACCGGAACAAATGACAATCGGATGGAGCAATGTCTGGAGAATACGCGGGGTGCGGTAAGACTTGCCATTTTAGCTCTCACAGCGTTTGCTTCACGAGGTCGAATATTGTCGTGAAGAAGAATCACTTTGCGTCGTTTACTCGCGATTGGTGATCGTTTCAATTTGTATAATTGTTGTCGATAGCGATCAGCGGTGACAGTTCACAGTACACAACATCTTCTTGATCCCACCAAACACACACACACAATACCTTTGAATCGCGAATATCGCGCCTCAAAGTGGGTGCTGCTGGTTCGCCTGGATCAACCCATGATTTTTTTGTCTGGGATATCGAAGTAGATCCATTTTCATTCCCAATAATAATTCGATACAAAAATCTCTTCAATTTTGTCCGACGATCAACGAAATGCAAATGTTCAGTCGGCTCGCAATGGCATTTTCCGATAATTCATGTGGGACCCATTTTCCTTCTTTGTCAATCTTTCCCATATCATGTAAACGTTTAGTAACTGTTGTGTAGTAACTGCACGATCAACATTTAATGCTCTGGCAAGCCCTGAACCGGATTATGCCGGATTTTCGTCCAATAATGTTCGCAAATCTGCATTTTCAAGCTCTTTTGCTTGTCCCGAGCGATCTTTGCCGTTAACATTGAAATCACCACTTTTGAATCGTCCAAACCAACATTCGCGTGTCTCAATTGATGGAGAATTACTATAAGTTTCTATCAGATTTCTAAGACCTTCAGCCGTTTTCTTCTGATTAAAAAACAAAAGCAACACGTGTCGAAAATGTTCTTCAGGAAACTTGATTTTTAAGATGGTATCAACACGATATTTTTACTGCGTCTATTGTCAGCAAGTGACTAAATATCGTGGATTCATATTAAAGCATTAAGAAACACTCGAGTAGAAATATTAACAGGGCTCTGGTAAGAGCCTGATTATTTTTCCCTAACATTAATCGGGCCCTAGTAAAGATAGAAAGACAAGGCAATATTAATAGAGCCTTATAAAGAAATATTTTTATTATTGCTTGAGCAAAAATATTCGTTCTTTTCATTCCAAGAAATTTAGATTGTAATTTCTTTATGTCTTTATAACCTTATTAATATGCAACAAGAATTTTTTATTTTAAATATATAGTTTTTAATTTTAACTTACTAACTTTTTTATTTTAAATATATAGCATACTTTATACAACAAAATATAGCATTCTTTACACATAAAAATTCTGCTACTGTTTCGATTAAAGTTTGCTGCATTTCAAAATGAAGGCAATACTAGAAAAATCCTCGGAAAAGACTAATGAATATGGCAACTAATAAAACTAATAAAATTTGTTTTTAATTGCGGTATAATTAGAAGATCTTTAAAAGAACCAGATAGAGTGTACCTACTAAAACAATACTAAAACAACACTAAATTATGACAATTTTATTACACGCTTCAGATCTTATTAATTTTCTATAACAAAACTTGATTTCGTACATCTAAAGCGTTCTTAAAAGATCCTCCTAAGGTCTACTACAGTTTTCCACGTTAAAGCGTTATTTCGTAAAACCTAAGGCATTCGAAAAAAATTCCTCTAAGGCCGTTTTCAGCTTTCCCCAAAGCAAAACCTCTCTAAAATCCAAGTATTTCGCAAAATCTAAGACATCCTTAAAAGATTCATCTCGGGGCCTGATGTGATAATAATGAGGCATCTCTCTTTAGGGCATCCTACTTTCGGCCTTATCGGGGCCTTATGCTTCATGAGGATGGCCCTGAGAACTCTTTGCTCGGGCAATAGCTCTGATTGGATCTGTCTTCGATAAAACTGACTTAGCCTCTCGCATAACCCTCAAAAGTAAGTCACACCCCTAATACATGGTATGGACGCACACACACACACACACACACACACTTTCTCTTTCTCTCTCGGCACTCACCGTCTGTAGTCGCTCTTGCAGAGGACCATGCCGCTTCTGGTGTAGCAGGACTGGCCGATCTCTGCCAATGCCGTGCCGCAATACGAGCACTTGAGGCAGGCATTGTGCCAGTACCGATCCATCGCCAGCAACAGCCATCTTTCCACTATTTGTAAGCCGCAGCCGGCGCACTGCTGAATACCCGTTGACGCGCTTGGGACTCCCTCTTGCTGCAACGCAAAATTTCATTACGTTCGGACAATTGTCTGACGCATCGGGGCGTGCGCGCGCGGGGGGGGGGGGCGGGGCGTCGTCTCTGTCGGCGTGTGGAGATTAGCAAACAGCGAGTTCGGCGGCGCGATCTCCTTCATCGCTCGCGAGATCGACCGCTCTTCGCCGCTCGCGACGTGCGGCGGCGGCGGACAATTACGCTCGCGAAAAGCGAGCGCAATTTCGCGAGCGATAGTACCGACGGCGATAAGGAGTATACAGCGTGTACTTTCGTAGGTCGCGTGCGCGAGCTGCGCTGTGTGCATGTGCGTGCGCACGTGTGGGAGCGCGAGTTGCGACACGCTTTTAGAAATCGCCTGCGCTCCGTTATAAATAGAAATTCAAGCATCGCGGTAATTAATGCGAAATAGAAAGTCATTAACGACCGCTAAATCATCACGGCGTCTTGAGCGCGCTCGCGCGCTTATTACGAATGCTCACTCGTGCGATTATGCAAACGCACGCAGGCGAACGTAACTCTTCGCTCGTCAGATTCACAAGTTACTCGCTAATTTCACCTCGCGCAGTGTTGCTCAATACCGAGTTACCGCCGACATCCCGATTCGCCGTTAAATCCGCGCAAACGAGCGCGCGCGTTCGCGATGCGCGATTCCCTCGCCGCTCGCGACAGCGAGTCGGTCGAAAAAACTCGACGCGATGCGGAATAAGCGACTTCCTCGGATCGAGCTCCGTCTCGATATTGTTTGCGCGACTGGTCGTCGTCCTCCCGCCGGCTCGCGCGCCCGTGGAAGACGAGACCAAGAGAGAGAGAGAGAGAGAGAGAGAGAGAGGGAGAGAGAGAGAGGGAGAGAGAGAGAGAGAGAGAGAGAGAGAGAGAAAGAGAGCGTACGCAGAGCGATCGAAGGAAAATGAGCACGCGTGAGCGAAACGGAATCCAAACGCCTCGAGATTCCGATTTTCCTCCGTCGACAATAACCGAGCTCTTGTCTCGCGTCCGTCGTCGCGCACGTGTGCGAGCGAGCGCACCACCGCCGGCCCGCATCCGACGATCGGCTCGAGTTCAGGATAAAAGGACGAAGACTGAGTTGACGAGAGAGGGCGAGATGTAATTCTAATTCGCGGCAGCCGATCCTCCCCCGTTCCCCACCGGTGCTCCTTCTGCGCCGCTTTTTCTCCCTCCCTCTCTCTCTCTCCCTTTCATTGTATTATATTATATTCACTCATTGCGACCATACGCATAACTTGTGCAAACGTTCTTTTTCTTCCCCCGTATATATATTTTTCATATTTTTTTTATTTTTTTTTCTGTTTCTCTTTATTTTCTGCATATCTCTTTCTTTTTCCAAGGCAAGAATATCAAGATTACATCTGTAACTGTTGTATTCTTTATGGGGTTTTCAACTCCGGGGTAAAAAGAAATAACTCTAACTTTAATTCTCTCTCTCTCTCTCTCTCTCTCTCTCCTTCGCCGTCGCGCGTATTTATACACGCTTATCAGCCGTCTATCGATACCGGATAATCCCGCGATGCAGCATCACACGCGGCCGATAATGCACGCGCGTGCAGTTATGCGACTAGTCGGACACGGTACGTTACGCACAGCAGCAGCAGCAGCAGCAGCAGTAGCAGCAGCAGCAACAGCAGCAGCAGCAACACGCTCGTCTTGCCGACTCGCGCCGCGAATAGAATGCGAACGAACGCGTTAATTGCCGCGTCGGCGAGCGCGCGCGCGCGCGGAAAATCTCGAGCGAGCGCTTACTTTGATTTCCGTCTTGATGTCGGGGAAGCACTTGATCTGATTCATCCGCGACGTGATCGTGCTGTAGTGGTGCGTATGTACCTCCATGATGCACTACACTTGGTGCGTACGTGTGTGTGTATGTGTGTGTGTGTGTGTGTGTGTGTGTGTGTGTGTGCGTGTGTGTGTGTGCGTGCGCGCGCGCGCGCGCGCGTGTCCTTCTTCGCGGAGCGATAAAGGAAGATAAAGAGAGGAGGAGGAAAGACGTCGAAAACACAATCTCGGAATCACTCGGCCAATGATATCACTCGGCCTCGAACGACAAGTTCCCGTTGCGGGCACACTCACTTTCCCCCACCGCGACTCGCGGGATTTCAAGGATCAGCTTCTCCTCGAATTTGCGCGTCTCCGCGTGGGACCATGGAGATACCACGATGGCCGGCCCCGTTTACACGGTACGGCGAGCAACGGGCCTCGCACGCACAACGGCACAGCTCGCCTGCGATTTCGGCGACGCGTTTCCCCGCGCTGTACAGTCATGGAGCGCGTCCACGAGGAAAGCAAGCGAGCAAGCGAGCGGACAGACTCAACGAAACGGAGCGCGGTCGAGACCCAACTGGCTAGTGCTGCGGGCCCCCCGAATGCCTCGCGGGCCTGCGGGTTCAGGTACCTTGTGGTGCTCGGGTGGGGAGGGTAGGTGGGGGATAAAAAAGCAGGCCTAGAAAGGACCTAACCAACGCTGAAGGGGAATGCGAGAGCAGGATGGAATGAGGGATCCGTGCGGCGAAGGAAGGGGGCCCCCGAGTGGGTCGAGAGGGGAGGTGAACGGAGGACCCACTACTCGCGTGTGCTAGAGAGAGACAGAGACGGAGAGAGGGAGAGAGAGAGAGAGAGAGGAGAGAGAGAGAGAGAGAGAGCCAGCCAGCCAGCGGCATGGTTGGGGAAGAGAAGGGGCAGCGGGATGCAGGGGCCTTTCCATAGCATCAGTCGAGAGAAAAAGAGAATGGGAAGGAGACGAAGAGCGAGGAGAAGGTGCGAGGGAGGGGTGTATATTCTGGGACAAGTTCCCTAAGTACGACGGAGTCGTACAATGTTGTGCCGAGAGCGAGAGCCGAGGTGAATTTTCGGAGGTGCGACCCGAAAATCTAGACGCGCGCGATGAGCAACAAAGGAGGGGAAGGAGTAAAGAGGAGATTAAAAAAGAATACGCTAAGGAAAAAAGTGGAGCGCGGAAAGTCGCGGAGGATTGTGAGCGAAAGAGGATTTTTGAGACGACAAAGCCGCGCGGACGAACGGAAACACAGCGTCCAAAATGACGGAGGGATACGGAGACGAGGAGAAGGTTCTTCGTGAGTGCGACGAAGGCAGACGAGGCAACGAGCTCGAGTGGGACAGAGAGAGAGAGAGAGAGAGAGAGAGAGAGAGAGAGACGAGGAAGAGAAGCAGCGACGGAGACGGAATAACGAAAAGAGAAGGGCCGGTAAAGAGGCAAAGGGGAAGGGCGACGGGAGAGCGAGGGAGAAGGTGCTGGCGCGAGACAGAAAGCGAGAGAGCAAAAGAGGACAGCATAAGAAAGAACGACGAAAGGACAGAAATCCGGAGGCTCGCCAGAGTGTCGGACGATACGTGTTTCGAGGTTCCGAATATTCGATGAATTAAGGCGGACAATCGGAGCATCTAATCGTCCGAAGCTCCGGCAGGAAGAACGAGAGAGCAGGAGGGAAGGGAGGGGGAATACACGAGACGACGGTACAATGGCGGAAAGTAATAATCGAACGGGCCCGGGAACGAGCGACGCTTTGAGAGCGCGAGTCCCGGGGAATGCGAGGTTTTAGAAATTAGGGATTTTGTCGACGACCACCGTTCCCGAAGAAACGGAGGAAGCAGAAGAAGAGTCCGCTGAGAGACGGTCAACAGAAGAGGGCCATTAGAAGCGACGAAACCCGGGATCCGGGGAAGCGAGCGGTTGAGGAGCGGAGAGAAAGAGAGCGAGGGAGAGAGGGAGAGAGAGAGAGAGAGAGAGAGAGAGAGAGAGAGAGAGAGAGAACGCATGCGATGGGAGGGAGGGAGCACAACCGAGGGCGCAGTCGGGTAAAGGTTCAGGCAGAAGGATGCGAGAGAGGGAACCGCGCCGGGCCCCTCCGCCCCTATTCAATTATATTTCTCCATCATAAATGCCTATATTGTTACGTTTGTCAATGGCGAGGTAAGTGAGGGTCGGTGGACGGATAATGCCCGCTGAATTGCAGCCTGTGACCCCCACGTTATGGCGTTTCTGGGCCCTTTGTGACGGACGCGCGAGGGGCCCGAGATATCTCTCTCTCTCTCTCTCTCTCTCTCTCTCTCTCTCTCTCTCTCTCTCTCTCTCTCTCTCTCTCTCTCTCTCTCTCTCTGAAAGACCCTCTTCTCTTCGCGTCGTTGAAGAGAGAGAGTAAGAGAGAAACACCTGTATCTCTCTCTCCTCTATACCGCTTTATTCGATCGCGCGAGAATTTCGGATAGTTCATAACTCAAAAGTAAAGACGCGTCTCTCTCTCTCTCTCTCTCTCTCTCTCTCTCTCTTTCTCAACGCGAAAAAGTCCACGACACACTCGTCGCACAACGATCCACTCACCTTGATCGTACAGTTGTTGTTGTGATTCACCGGTTGGTACGCCGGGTGGCCCGGCATGTGCGGGTGGGGGTGTCCAGGGAGATGTGGGTGATCCGGCATCATGCCTCCACCACCGTGATGATGCCCATTGCTGCCCATGCCTTGTCCAGGTTGCAGGGCGGCATAGGGGGTTGCGGGATCACCGGCACCGGCAGCGTGCGGGGGCGAGTGGGGGCTGGGTAGGTCGGGGGTGGTCGTGGTGCCGCCACCGCCGCCACCGCCGCCGCCGCCGCCGCCGCCGGTCCCATACGCGTGATGCGGCCCACCGGGCCCGCTGTGATGCGGACTGCTCGAGAGCGAAGGGTGGTGGGGGTAGCCTGCGGAGTGGCCTGGATGGTGGGGGTTCATGCCAGCGGTTAGCGCGCTCGCCAGTTTGCTGAGTGAGCGGGTGGGCTCGGGGAGCCCACCGTCAGCTTTCCGACACGAAATAGGTTGAGAAGCGCCCCTGCGTTGCGCTAGTTCTTTCTGATACGGGAGCTGGAAACGCTGCCCGCCACTGGGCCTGTTCTGCTGCTGCTGCTGCTGCTGCTGCTGGGACTCTGCAACAAGAAGGCAAGAGAGTGTTTTTCAGCAGGCTGCGTGATTCCTCGAGTCAATATGCGTATATCTGGCCGCGGTCTCGGCAGGGCGCGCGATCGGCCGCAGCCGAGTCGATAATGAGCCGCCCGGCGATAAGTCAAACTCTTCGAAACGTTGCTTCGTCGCAATTAGTACCGCGGAGCAACATTATCTCCATGTTTTTCCCCTCTCGCGAGCGGTATCGCGCATTGCCCGAGCCCGCTCGTAAAGTCGAGTACTTTATCGCCTCGTGGCGCGTAGCCCCGATAAGTCCACGCTAGTTGCTGTGTTAGTGGTAGTGGTGCGCTTATGACAGCGCGCGCGCTACTAGTAACGGCGAACCGAATGCAAATGCCGCGTGGAAACGTCGTCGAGTCCGCGGGAGGATATATTAGAATTCGTGAAACGCCCTGACCTGTGTCCTTTGTCGAGCGGGCCCATGAAAGCGCCGAGTGTGAGACCTGCGCGCACTCGCGCGCTCGCGCGCAGCACGCCCACCTTAATTAACAATAATCGTCCTTCCCGCTACGGCTCAGCGGGTGCCGATTCGAACGTTCCGTTCGGAACTTGTGTCTTTTTGTCCCGCGGCGCGTAACGAGCGCCCTTTCTTCGGCGGGGCTTTAAGGGCGAATACGCTAACGGCACGGAAAGACCCGACGACGACCCTCCGTGGTTTTCTCTTCTATAGACAGAACGGACGAACGAACGAACGAACGACCGACTGACCGACCAACCGACCCGTTATGTGCGCGCACATAATGAATAATGAGTAACGAAGGCGTAATTAGAACGATGATCGATGGTGAATTACTCCCTCCCTCCCTCCTTCCTCCCCTTTCTCCTCTCTCTCTCTCTCTCTCTCTCTCTCGACTACGCGATGACGACGTGGTATCAGAGAATTCGCTCGTTACCCGCGAATGTTCGCGCGCATCGCTCGTCTCGGTGTGTATGCGCGCACGAGTGCGCACGCACTCGCGTGCGTACGTGTGTGTGTGCGTGCGTGCGTGCGTGCGCGCGCGCGCGGGGAAAGTAAAAATGTCGCGACCTCCTCGGTGGGAGAAAGTAATTAGCGCACGGGCGCGCTGGAGCATATATTATTCCACGATGCGGAGCGCACATCGGTACATCGGAACACACTCAGCCTCTTAATACGTATTTAATTAAGTACGCCGAGGTAGAGAGCGAGATAGAGAGCGAGTTAGAGAGAGAGAGAGATAGAGAGAGAGAGAGAGAGAGAGAGAGAGAGAGAGAGAGAGAGAGAGAGAGTGTAGGTGGACGGCTGGCGCGAGGCGGGGGCCGACGGGGGAGTTTATAGTGGATATCAGTATGGGCAACCATAACTCTCTCGCGCCTCCGCCGGCGAGAGCAGCGTGCCACTTATACGAGCACCTACCGCGATGGAATTTCATCCTCGCCGTTACCACATAAATCTCCGGCGCATTAATGCCCTTACGGGCCGCTCTCGGCCGCGTTTCTGCGCTCTGCCGGTCGCTTCTTCACACACGCTGACCGGCCGGCCGATTCTTCCTTCGCCGCCGCGCCGGATGGCGGACCGCGGCTTAGCGCCACCTCGCGACATCGCTGGACCGTGACCGACGACGACGACGACGGGAAGGAGCGACGAGCGCGGGTCACCTCGTGCAGAAACTGCGAGGAGAAGACGCTCTCGCTCGCGCACGTCGTCACACTTGTGTATGCGGAGATCTCCGCGGCGCGGGATCGATATCGGCGGGCTCGAGTATCGATCGCACGCGCGCCGGCGGCGTAGAGGGAGGGGAGGGGAGGGGGGGGAGAGAAGAGACGTGTCGATTTGAGCCGCGGGCCGATGCTCCCTGTCGCGTTCGTTATCGGCGTGCTCCCACGCGTTTACGGGGTCTGACCTCTCCGGAGACGCTGCGCCGCGCCGGCTCGTCGCGGAAGCGCGCGATAGCCGAACGATAACAAGATGATAACAAGGGAATACACCGGTAATTACCGGAATGATAATGACGAGGAGAACGACGGAGACGCCCGGGTGGGGGAAGACGGTGGACGAGGAGGAAGTGGTGATGGTGATGGTGGTGGTAGTGGTGGTGGTGGCAGTGGCGATAGTGAAGCGGGCGCGCGAGAGAGAGAGACAGAGAGAGAGAGGGGGGGGAGGAAGAGGAGGAAGAAGGGGAGGGCGATCGGCTGCGATAGGGATAATTAACGATCGCAATCGTACGAAAATGAGGACAGGGCGAGTGCGACGACGACGATAACGAGCGGTCCAGCGATCTTATTAGCGATAAGCGTCGATAACGAGGGCGCCCCGTTCTATACGACAGCGAGCGGAAAGAAAGTCAGCCTAAGGATTAATGGCGGCGACCCCCGGCCGGCGGGGGAGGAACGTTACATTCCGACGGATTATAGGAGCGAGCGACCCACCCTGTTGCGGCTCTGCCCTTTCGAGCGTCCGTCGCGGCTTCAAGGCCGGCCACGAGGCTATTATTTCAAGTGTGATTGAGTACAAACGCGACGCGACGCGATTTTCAAGCCGCGGCTTTGGGGCGGACGAGGGGGGGGGGTGAGGTTAGGGTGACATTAAAAACGGATCGATATGTAGACGGAGTTGCCGATCGCTTTCAACAATCCGGCCGATGTATACGGGAAATAATTGCGGCACTCTGAGGAGGAACGTAGTCGGAAAGCGGAAAGCGGGAGCGACGAGAAAGAACAGCAGCAGAGACGACGAGGGGCGGCGGTGGAGGAGGAGGAGGAGGAGGAGGAGGGGACGCGTACAACCCTCTCCGCTATCGGGGAGAATCTCCCTCGATTCGTCGCGGTTTACAGCGCCCGCATCCGGATTGAATTTAAATATTTCTTGGGCTGACGAACTCTTTCGCGAATTGCCGCCGGCTCGTAAAAGTCCCCCCCCGCCCCCGCCCCCGCAGCCTGCTTAGCCGCGCGATCGCATCGTCGGGAAGTGCTGTTTCATTGGGATCGGCGGTATTATGAAATCGTTGGGCGTTGTCTTAAGGACCAATAAAACCGGCCAGGCACGGACGAGGGGGGGATTAGTCGGCGTGGGCCCCCCGCGAAATTAATATCGGCGCTATGGTTTCATTGCGAGCGAGACGAGAGAGGGAGAGGGAGAGAGAGAGAGAGAGAGAGAGAGAGAGAGAGAGAGAGAGAGAGAGAGAGAGAGAGAGAGAGAGAGAGAGAGAGAGCGCGAGAGAGAGAGAAAGACGTAAACTCGTTCCGCGCGCGCGTCTTTACGAGCGAGCAGCGTATAGACGCAGCTCGATGCTTTCGGGAACCCGGGCCCGAAATAAGGGATAATGTCCTGGTGAGAGACGTGGATCGAACGGTACTCGAGGTCGGGGTACTGCGGCAGTGTCCTCGACTCCGTTGAGGTTAGGGTGTGCGTGCGTGCGTGCGTGCGTGCGTGCGTGCGTGCGTGCGTGCGTGCGTGCGTGCGTGCGTGTGTGTGTGTGTGAGCGCGCGAGGCAGGCAGCGCGCGCGACTCAACAATTTGATAGTCTCTGCCGATAATTTCCATCTCGACGAGGGCTCCTCCCACGACGGCGAGGCCTTTGTCTCGAAGAAGGCGCGAAGAAGTGTCTTTACGAAAAAAATGTAACTTCAAGCTCGAATTGTTCCGGAACGCTCGTTTGATTCTCCCCGTCGAATACTGGGATCCTCTCCCCCCCGCCGCCGACGAGGAGAACAGAAATCGCCAAACGCGCCACTTTAATGGAACTCTTAAATCATCACTTTGAAAACACTCCTTTATCAGAAGCTCGCGCGTTAAAAGGGATCCGATGAGCTCTCTCTTCGGAACTACTCGATCTTGATCGCCGGGCGCGAGGTTAGCATCTCGTGCATCCAAAGCGCGATTTTCGCGCTGTTCATCGCGCCGCCGGGGCTCTTTTTACAAATGTAACGGCAACCGCGCTCAAAGAGTAGCTGCAACTCTAATCGGGAACTATCCGATTGTAAAGTCGGCCCGGCAACTTTGCGCACGCACACGACTACTGATCGGCGATCGATCGCGGAACGCGGCAACTCGGAAGAACGGAGCTGAGGAGCGCGCTCTCTCTCTCTCTCTCTCTCTCTCGGCGCGTTACATCGCGAGGTTCTCCCTAGACTCGGTCGAAAAGCGCGCGCGCGAGCATCTCTCCAGAGATACGCCGCAAACGATTTCGTTTATTAGCGCGTTCTCTCCTCCGCGAGACGGCAGCGCGCCGCAAAGTGCGACTCCGATTATTGCTAATAAAAAATACGACGCCGCGCCGAGAGCAAAGTCTCAAAGAGACCTGCGGTAATGACAGCCGAGACTCGGAGGAGCTGCGCTCCTCTCGCAGGCTTTCCGTCTTGCAATAACGCGCTACGCGGAAGGCGGCCGGCCTCGGGAAGGATTCTCCCGCATTGCAGTCCGCTCGGCGACAATAAAATGGAGTATTTGTATCTCGTAATAAACCTTCGAGCGGCGTAATGGACGCCCTCTCGCGCCCACCGAGTATCGAAACGCGTTCCTGAGGAACCGACGCGTCGGACTCGAGCCGGGCGAGAAAGTGGAAACAAAAAAGAGAGCGAGCGAGAATGAGAAAGAGAGAGAGAGCCCTAAGACGGTGATGATCACTCCGCAATCGCGGGGGAATGTCGGGAGAAGTTTACGCCCGGCATTCCTGGGAATTCATCGCGAATATTTACAACTGCTAATTCGTTTAATTAGTTGCGCCGTGACGCCCCTCGGATAAAGGTCCACGGCTCGCTCTCGTCCCGCCCGGACGTCTTACTCTCCCGGAGAAATGAAATGAATTTCCGGGCCCGTCCGTTCCCGCTCCGCCGCGCCGCTTCCTATTTTGCACAACGAGAAATTCCGCGCAGCTCGCGCGGCGCGTCCCGCGTCCCGACGTGATCCTCCCCGTTTTCGAGAATATCAAATGTCTCGGATTATTGGCCCCGGTCCCGATAGCAAACCGGGAAAAGGAACAGAGCGAGAGAAAAAAAAACCATG